AGAAGGAAGAATCCACTGGATGTTTACTAGTTACTCTAGTTACTCTATCATGCTAATGAAATCTGAAAAAACAATTGGACTTGGTTTCTGGACATTGGGCCAGGGATTTCTGGAAAAGATTGATTCTTGAGAGCGAGGACAGCCGACAAATATAAGAAGTTACTTAATCTGAACAGCTTCAGCCCCAGCTTCAGTAGTTACAATGGATAAGGTACTATAGATGGAGGAGTAGTACAAGCCATCTATCCTGAGCAGCTCCAATAATTCTCTTGCCTTGTCTTCTTTTGCAAGAGAAAAGGTTTATGGCTTGGTTTTCCTTCTGTAGCAGTGGAAAATTCAGCTCTGTGCCCTGCACAGAGACCCAAAATTGAATTTTAGTTGTGCATTATTTCTGCTACTGTGACAATGGGAATTTAAATTAATTAATTAATTAATTAATTAATTAATTAATTAGACAGGGTGTTTTATTACTAACAAACGGATAAGGTACTTTAGATGGGTGGGTGAGTGGGTGAGTTATATCCCTCAAATTGCTACGGCATCAGAATGCCTTGTTCGATTGGATTAGACTGATTTTCATTTTAATTAAATTATTGATTTTTTTTTATTTTGATTTTAATCAAAACTGCAAAAGAAAACCAAAGCAATGCCAACCCTGCAATATAACCAGAATGACTCTGCCAATATAATTATTTTTTTAGCATATCTAGCCTATAATACAATTGAGTATTTATTTATTTTAACTATGGAAAAGGAAGGGGGTTGATCTCAGCTAAAATCCAGTTACCCATAACTGTTGTAATTATAATTATAATAATAATAATTATTATTATTAATACTATTTTTTTTACTGGATAATCAAGTGCCTAGAAATAGCAGGAGTCAGTAGAAACATCAGAAGCTTTGTGCAAAGATTAACGGCACAAGGGAAGACACAGTTGCTGGTCAATGGCGGTAGACTGGGAGAGGTTAACATCCAGGAAGGAATCTTTCAGGGAGACTCATTATCACCACTACTGTCCGTCATTCCATTGATTCCCTTGTCAACAATACTGAACAAGTCAGGCCATGGCTATCAAACATAAAAAAACATCTGCCAGGTTATCCCACCTCCTTTACATGGACGATCTGAAGCTGTATGGAAAAACACCATCTTAAATGGAATCGCTGCTCAACACTGTCCAAATATACAGCCAAGATATTGCACTGAAGTTTGGACTGGACAAATGTGCAACCCTGACAATCAACAGGAGAAAATAATGAAAACCGAAGGAATCAAGATGCCCTATAGAAATAATATCAAGAGTCTGGATGAAAAG